TTTATGTATAGCTTTCTGTCATGACAATGTTTTCCGTTGCTTCGTCGTGTTTTTTTTTTTGTTTTTTTTTTCTACTTTTCCATTTTTGCCGATCTTATTTTTATTTCTTTTTAAATTTTTTTAGGGCGTCATTACACAAGCCTTTAGCTGGCTTTGATGTGCCCATACATATAACATTGCATTCCTGATGGGCAAATGAAATTATGATTATTATTATTATTTTATTGAACGCTCTGCCGGACTCAATCCTGTACATCACCTCACTGAAGGCATTGAAGAAGGAACTGAAATGTGTTGACTTGGATATTACTTAGTACAAGCCTAGTACCAGTGTGCATAGTGAATAATGTTATATTGTCTTTGCTTTGGTCGTAGTACAACTAATCTCCTTGAGAAATTCTCAGATGTTGTGCACTCTTCCTTCGACGATAACATGTATGTGTGTGCCCTCTTCGTTGATGTAGCCAAAGCGTTTGACACCGTGAACCACAACATCCTCTTAGACAAACTCTATAGAATCGGCTTTCGGGGACCATTTCATACATTGCTGAAGAGTTATCTTTCAAATCATACACAGGTTGTTTCAGTAGACAATGTCCGCAGCTCTCAAGTTTTCCTTACTTCTGGAGTTCCCCAGGGCTCCATTCTTTCTCCCTTACTATTCAATTTCTACGTAAATGACATTTCTGCGGCAACGACAAATTCAACAATTTTTCAATATGCGGACGACACTCTTTTGTTTTCTCGGCACCTAGTTTACCAGCGTGCTATGGAAATGCTTCAGGCAGACGCAACCAAAATTATTGACTGGTTTTCGGCAAACAAGCTACGTGTAAATGCTTCGAAAACAAAACTGATCTGCTTCCGTAATCCTTTAAAAAATGTCAGTTTGACTTTTCGACTATTCCTTCATAGCTCCAATTGTCCATGTTGTAATTGTAGACCTGTCAAATATGTTAGTTCAGTAAAGTACTTAGGTATTCACTTTGATTGTGATCTCACATGGGATACTCATATGTCTTACGTATGTCAACGGTTGAGGAGCGTGTCGTGCATGATGTACCACATTAAAGGTTTCATACCATTGTCAGTTAGAAGGATCATAATGCACGCCTTAGCTTACAGCGTACAAAGGTACGGCATAACTGTCTTTTTCAATTGTTCACTCTCCTGGCATTTAAGAATTGACCGAGTTTTAAAAGGGATTCTAAAAAGTGTCGCATACAACAGCGACTTTTCATCCAATGCTAACCTCTTTATTTCACTTGAGTTGCCGTCTTTTTACTCGCTTTTCCTTCAAACTGTCGTTTGGCGGCATTTCTGGGAAAGTGATTTCAAACTCGCGTCTACTCCATCTCGTGAACTCAGATCTGTTCCACGTTTCGTCACTCCTAGGGTGAGAACTCACTATGGTGAAAGTCTGCGCACATTTTATGTCCCGAAAATTTTTAATGGTCTTCCAGAATCTGCTTTCCATTAACTCGAACAAAATGTTGAAAAAATGTCTGAGAAGCATGTTCACGGATGTGCGAAAACAGTGACCATCCATCTTCTTTTTTTCTACCTTAGTTTTATAAGGTAATCTTTTCAGTTCACTCTTTTGTTTACACGTTTTGAGCTATCATTAAAAACGTGATTGTAAGAAATATTTTGTACCTCACTAGGATTTTTTTTCTTGATGAAAATATGAAAAAGAACATGAAAAACTTTTTTTTTATGAAAGTAATCGTGTAAGTAAGTTTTCAAAGTAACTGTGACTGCGCATATCTTTCATTCTTTTCTTTTTGGAAAGTATAAAAAGCTTCTTTTTTCCTTAAGAAAAGCAATACTGCAAAAAAACGCGCGCGTCCTTTTTTTTTTTTTTTGAGGAAGTAAGTTGGCTTTGGCAGTTCGCTCCTGCTTCCGATACGACTACGGTCTTCATTGTATTCTCGGGCTACTGTATTTGCGTATGTGTGCGTTTATTTTCTGATGAGACTACGTGTTTTCCTGCACTTTTTCAAGACCGACAGAAATGTGAACTTTCGCCTGGAGCAGAAGATGTCATCGGTGTGTGATTCGTGTTTGTACGTGTGTGTGTGTGAGTGTGTGTACGTGACAATGTGAACATTTTCAATAAGCTTGCTGCAACTGCTGGGTCTAGTCCCACAAGCCCTTGAGGCTTTGACAAGACCTGGAACTTCATCCTGACTCTAAGAATTAGTTATTAAAGATTACTATTACTATTACTACTATTACTATTATTATTATTATTATTATTATTATTATTATTATTATTATTATTACCTTGCTCAGAAATCTACGTTCTTACTTAACTTTGCATCATTTACGAATCTAAAGCAACACAATTGTATTCCCAATTGCCAGGGAAACATGCTTGATTTGTGTTTCTCAGATTTAGATGATATACGTATAATTGAGTGTGCCTCAAGTTTAGTTCCACCTGACAGATATCACACCCCTCTGGAGACCGTGGTAGCTCTTCGAGAAGGCATGAGGCGTTGTTTACAGAGTCATTCTAATGTGACTAGTCACAATTTTTACGCTGGAGACTACGTTGGTTTATACAACCATTTTGCCGAATACGATTGGTCATCGATCATTCGATGCACTGACGTCGATGAACAGGTTCGTGAGTTCACACGCATCGTTCGAGAAGGGATGCACCAGTTTATCTCGTTACGGAGAACCGCAGGTTCTATGTTTTCCTTTTGGTTCTCACGTGAATTACGCAGATTAATGAATAAGAAGTTGCACGCTCACAGAAAATTTAAAAAGAACGGTCTCCCTGGATGGAAATCAGAATTTAGGCGTCTAAGGTCTTCATGCAGGGAAGTTATGAGGCGTGATCGTCAGAGGTACGTTAATTCTGTTGAGCTGCATTTAACTCAGAATCCCATGGAATTTGGGAATACGTTCGGTCTCGATCAAAGACAAAATGTGGGAGGGAGATCACATTGCTGAACTCACAGGGAAACTCGACCACAGATGTTTGCGAAATTTTCGCCCACCACTTCCAGTCCGTATTTAGGCATCAACCGAACTCTCCCATTAACGCCGCGCCAGCTGCCTCTAGTAATTCAACTTGTATTGCGTTTTTTGATGAGAAGCTATTACATGAGTGTGTAAAGAAGATGAAGCCGTCTTTGTCTTCTGGCCATGACGGCATTCCGTCGGTCCTATTGAAGGCCTATAGTGCAATATTTATCCCTATTTTGGTACACATCTTTAACAACTGCGTAAAAACCGAAGTGTTTCCCGTCTTGTGGAAAACAGCACTTGTTGTACCCGTACATAAGTCCGGTTCAAGAACAAGCGTCTCAAATTACAGGCCTATATCTCTTCTTTGTACATTTTCAAAACTCTTCGAAACAGCTTTACACAAAATATTGTCGTTTAAGCTCAAACATTCTCTCATCCCTAGCCAACATGGTTTTATGGCGGGTCGCTCAACCACGACTAACCTCACTTGTTTCATGTCAACTGCTGCTCAGGTCGTCTCTAATAGAGGCCAACTTGATGTAATCTACTTTGATCTAAGCAAAGCGTTTGATCTTGTAAATCACGACATGTTGCTGGCAAAGCTGTTAAGGCTTGATGTCCACAGGTCGTTACTTTTATTGCTCAAAAGTTACTTGCGTGATAGACTGTGTTTTGTCAGCTCGAATGGTAATTCGTCTGCTGCTTATCAGGCTACGACGGGTGTACCTCAAGGTTCCGTTCTTGACCCCCTTCTGTTTTCAATTTTTGTGAATGATGCTTCGGCTGTGATCTGTCACTCTTCCTTTCTACAATATGCAGATGACATTAAGATGTTTATAGAGGTACGAGACGAACGCGACTGTGTTTTGCTACAAAATGATGTATATGAATTCGAAAACTGGTGCAATCAGAATGCCCTAAAACTAAATAGTTCGAAAACTAAAGTCATGTCCTACACTCGAAAGACACATAATATTATATTCTCTTATGACATTCAGTCAGTTCTTTTGACACGTGTGAATGAAATCAAAGACCTTGGAGTTGTATTTGATAGTACATTACGCTTTTCGAGTCATGTTGACCATATTGTGAGCTCAGCTTTACGTACGCTTGGTATCACGTGCCGCATTACTGAAGAGTTTAATAACCCTAGTACTTTTGTCACACTGTACAGCGCTTTATGTCGACCACACGTCGAGTATTCCTCTGTTGTATGGAATGGAATCTGCGCGACAACCTCGGCTAGAATCTAACGTGTTCAGAATAAGTTCTTATGTATCTACAGACATCGTTTCTCGTCGCGCAATGCGTCCAACTCAAACGATGATCCAGCAGTCCCAGTCCAACATAGCTTGGCATTGCCCACCCTGCGGCGTAGGAGAGAACATGCCGACATCCTATATCTGTACAAACTTATTCATGGCATCACTGACTGCACATCATTGATATCAAATGTGCGTTTGAAAATTCCCGTAAAAACTACAAGGCAAAATGCATCCTTCTATAATGCTCCCGTAACTAATCTTCAGGACCCCGTGTCGAGAATTGGGCACACCTACAATTCCTCTTTTACAGACTCTATTGATATATTTAACAATAACACACCGGAGTTCATCAGAGCGCTAAAGTTCTTCACCTAAATTTGGCTTCCCATTTTTTGCACCTGATTAAGTTGCTCAGAACCAATTTTTATACTCTCGCTTTCCTTTCCTTTCGCTATCGTGGTGGTATAGCCTAGCGAGTTTGTGTAACATATGTGATCTTTTTTAAGTGTTTTATTGTTTACTGTTTGTTTCTTGTGTGTAGTGTTGTTTTTCATGTTTCCTGAGTGCACCTGTACTAAGACCGCAAGGTTGTTCCTGGGCACTTCAATAAAAACATTGATTGATTGATTGATTATTATTGTTATTATTATTATTATTATTATTATTATTATTATTATTATTATTATTATAAGTTTATTTCGATTACATATATGCTGATCTGTTACTCTACAGAGTCTACACATTTTGTTGCAGGTTCGTCATGTACAAGTTCCCAGTCCAGGGAGTGAATTACGTCAAAGTCAAACGGGGATTCAACACCGACGGGCTGCAGTTCGCCTACTTTGACTCGAATACCAGAAACTTCAGCTATTGGAACATGTCCTCCGAAACTCTCTACAGCCAGAGTAACCCCCTAGCCTTCACATTGAAAAAACTTTTTGAAAAACAAAAGTCCTCCGTAAGTATACAGCACCTGCAACGCATTCTTGTTTGACTTCCTCAATTGACGTTAATCTTTTTGGATGAGTGCATACACTTGTTCTGCAGTAACTGTAAGAATCATTGGGAGTGACGTAGAATATATCTAAATTATATATATATATATATATATATATATATATATATATATATAGACAAAGAAAATATAGCGTAGGACGCCGAAGACTATAAAGTAATAAAGTCGCACAAACACTGTAGGTATAAATATACGAATATTATCGTCTTTCAATATTTAGAAAAGTAGCATATCGACAAAGAAGCAAAATATTTGTTTCTCTAAACATTTCTTAAAGCATAAATAAAAACGGGGGTGCTGTGGGGTCTTCACTATTTTATGTGGTATAGTAACGTCTCTTTTTAATAGCCTCCAAAAATGACACCGAAATGTATTTCTATGAAATCAAGTATTTTGAACCTTCAAGTAAATTATAAAAAAACTTTAAGAATTCAAAAAGTACCTATACTTTTTTTTATATACGCATACTTTTTGTTATTTATCATGGCTGCCTTGATTATGTACTAACTTGCAGTATGTCCGTGACGTGCATTGCGTCATCTATCCCAAATTTTACTGCCACCTAAGGTACCCTGGATATTGCAGTGAAATTAGTTTCCGTTTCTACGGTACGCCTACGCCATGAGTGTATATTAGTGTAGTGGGTATAATATAGTTAATTATGATTGCGTGTACCAGCGCGTTTTTTCCCTTTCCCTTTCCTTCTCACACAAAACCACTCATTAAAAAAAAGTATTCAGAGTAAGACAATTCGCGAGCGTCCAAAGAGCACCTAAATAGGCTACTTCCAAAAATCCCTGCATGCAACACTGCGCGCGTTGTGTTATGGGACCTCTTTGGCCATGAAGAGGAGTAGCATGGTTTCTATGTCCTTGTTGACGAAGTAGTGCATGTCAGAACTGTATGAAAGTGTAGTCAGTGCTCGCTTACATTGCACCCATTCATTTTCGTGAGAAACCCCGTTGAAATCCGGACCTCCAGCGGCCGTAGGGACTTGCCTAGACTTTGCGAGGAGTAGGAGTACGGCCGGCCTCGTCTTATACCTTTTTGGCGGCCTGGTTATCGCAGTAGAGTGCAGCATGACCCTCCCTGTTTACGGATCATTTAAAGCGCCTCTCCAGCCTAAATTAGGAGTCGTTGGTTCTATATAAAATCCTTGTGGTAGGTACCAGAACCTCCTTGTGGAAGTGTCGAAGAAGTTTCAGCTCGGGATTTGAAGAATAAAGCATATAAAACGCCTCTGGAAACTCCTGCATTGCAACTCGCTCAATAAGCGAGCCATGACGTAACAGGATCAGGATGCCGTCTCCTTCTTCTTCATCCGCCCTCTATGGTCCCGCTTGTTAAGGGCGGTCCAAACCAACCCGCAAATCGGGCGAAAACGGCTCCCCTAGAAATTCGGGCAAGAGGAGTGACGTCAATGATCACGTGAACGTGACGTTTTGCGGGCCCCCCTTTGCGGGTTCAAAGTTAAATATATTGAACTTTTTTCCGGCCCCGAAGACCGCCGGAGAGCCCGAAGGCGGTCCGACCTCCTCGCCCTTTCGCAAACATTAAGCGAAGTGGGGCGGAGGGAAGGACGCGGGGGGGGGGGGGGGGGGGTGCGCCATTCGCTGATCAGAAACCAAACAAAAGGACAAGAGAGGCTTAAAAAGCAGTTTCTTTCCAAGGAGGGAAAGTGCGCAGGCAAGCCGGTACTGTGTCGTGCTGTTTGTTATTTTAATTGTCCCAGACTCACTTTTTCTTTCAATTGAGTTGCTTTTGTTGTATTTTCTCCCTCGATGCTCAAAAATCACACAAAGGGGGTCGTTTCTCCCTCTCCCGCCCGTGATGTGCGTTTTTTTCCTTTCCCGCTCCGTTTCTTGCGCTTCGGCGTGCTGGCTGTACTGTTCGTGCAGACACTCGAACACACAGTAAAGGGCCGTTCACACCCTTGCGACCGAGTAAGACCGAGAGAGACCAGACCGGTTGTCAAGCCTTCTGCGATCTCTTAGGACCAGCTCCGCTGCAGCGTATCCGGTCCTAAGAAGTCGCAAAAGGCTTAAAAACCGGTCTGGTCTCTCTCGTTTGTACTCGGTCACATATATGTGAACGGCGCTTTATATAAAAGCAAAGGGCGTTGCCTCCCTCAATCTCGCGGAGCCGTTTTGCGGCTTGGTTTAGACCGCCCTTTATCACCGGGTCGGTCGCGTTACGTCGCTCAACGCATCTCGAGTTCATATTAGCAGCAGCAAAATAATTTTCAGTGTTTGTTTCCACAACAGGAAGTAAAGTCAGCTTCGATAGGCGCCTGGTGTCTCAGTTGTATCTGAGAAATTTAGCCAATGCAGTGCAACCGCTAGCCTGAGGCCGTTAACGTGCATCATGCACTAGGGATACCGGATACACGACATCACGCCGGTACGATGTTCATGCAGATCGGAACGGGCAGGGGGGAGGGGGGGGGGGGGTTGAGCCCAGGATATCTGGGTTGCGCTGGGTTCTGCAACGCGAGCTTTCGCTCCAAGCGTTCCGAATTGCGGTGCGCTGACATACTCAGCCACCGATCTCCCCTCAGCAACAGCGTGTTCCAAACAAGGAGAATAAGAGAGGACTCATAGAGGGACAAATACAGCGACGACTTTCAAGTCACGTTTCTTCTACTTCTTCGTAAGAACCAAGGTCATGTTACAAAGAAAACGAAAAAAACACGAAAAACACCCCGAAAATTTGCGCCCATCCCAATGACTACTTCGCCATGTAGTATAATTTTTTGGCGTCATGCATCCTCGGAACTGCAGTCTTTCTGCGCGCACGACATTCCCGCTGAGGGTCTGCCCCACTGATGCCTATAGACATAAAGATCAGTGGTCTGCCCGGGCAGAGCATGGGCGGCACGAGTTGTCTAGTGAACTGGTGTTTGCCTCCTTTGAATCACAGTTATGGCGTCGTCATGCGTGCCTGGAACGCCTATTGAGATCGGTATAATATAAGGCCGCCATTCCGCGCCAACAGAATGCATTTTGTGAACTGGGAATCACAACCACAGTCTCGGCAGCGTATCAGATGGCCAGACACAGTCTTGTTTGTGTTCGTTATAATTTTCTCGCAGCCGATCGTTGAGACATCTGCCAGTTTGTCCGACCAGAGCCTCCTATAAACCTCCTCCACAAAAACGCCGCCATCTTGAATGTCGTCACCTTCATTATGGGCGAAAACATAGTTTTCGCCCATACTGGCAAACACTCATTCTCGTTTTGCCTCCCCTCTATTTTTTTTTAGTATATTTGAAGGATGAAATATTTTATTATTTTTTGTCGCCCATACCGGATATGCCCACCAGGTGGCTGGGAACGAGAGTAAATCAAATATCTATATATAAGCGTATATAGGAGGCTCTGGTCGGACATGTATCTCCGGTGTCTCAGGAGAGCGGCTCGGTGTTGATGAAGAGGGGAACTGAAAAATGTGTGACGCCACGATTAGTGTCTGTAGTATCTTGTTACGTTACAGGTTTCGTCTAGTGAATCTGTGTACCAAATTTTGAACGAATTTATTATTTACGAAAGCTTAGTTGTTTTTGTTTGACAATTTAGCAACGTATTTGAAGGTACGTAAACTTGTGCAAGGCGTGAAGACCTACAATTGTTATTTTAGGCCTTTTAGGAAGCTCAGGACATTGAGGAGACAATAGAACAGGATGATCGGTTAAGTATACTTGTTCCATCTGCGATTGTAGTTATTTTTTTACCTTTGCACAAACCCTGGCACGTCAGGAGCCACAAAAGAAAAACGTGCCCCAGCATTCCATTCGTACTGGTAGGCAACACCAACAGTATGACAAATTTAGCGCCTACGAAAATGAAAGCATTGTATTTGGTCGTGACGGGCTGTCGTGAAGTGAGATTAAAAAGTCGAAACTGAAACTGTTGTCAAGGTGATCTTAAGTTGCTTTGCGCAGCACTACGCCGCTAGGATCGCTTTGATTTTTCAAGACGTCTATTGACAGAATCAGGGGGACCGTGGTCTTAAGCCTGCACGGTTGGCTACGAGACACAGCCATCCCCGTGCTTGGGTGTGAAGTGAACCTGCGGTTCGTTTGACTTTGAGTGCAAATGATGCTACGCTCTCAAAGCAATAACTGACTTGCTGGATCACAGCCTTCCGTGGCTTTAACTGGCGGGCGGGGCACCATTCAAGGCCGTGGAGGGCTTTGATCTAGCATGCCAGTTCATGCTCTGCAAGCATCTTTAAAGTTAAGAGCTAGTGCTCCCTGATTTTGTCTGTGCTCGGTATCGGTGACCTCGCAACCTGAATTGACCATTGCACCGGCGTGAGGTCGTGTACCACTGCTGCGTGTTGCACGTTAAAGACCCCAGGCTAGCAGTAGTACTGCACTGGCTAAATTTCTCGTCTACTGCGGAGACATCCAGACACCCAGTAGCATGACTCACTTCCCACTGTCTAAAGAAACACAAAACTACGATTACTTCCCGGCTCTCACCTACAGTATGTGTGCAGGAGAATTGACACGTGACTTGAATTACATGTTTTTGGGATGCCGATAATCCCGAAAAGTAAACTCAGAGTCGTTTTCATCAAAGTCGGAGAAAAACAAAATAAACGGAACTTTGAACTGATCATCTTAAATAGACTAAAGCTTCGCGGAAAAAAAATTTTAGCTACTGTTTTGCTTTGTGTTTACCCGGAACACAGACCGCACTGAAGTGCCCGAAAGGGTGCTTTCTCCTTTGGGAACGAAACCCCTTACCTCGTTTCCTTTTCCTTTCGCTAGTGAGTCCCCTTCAAATTATTCGGGTCACGCGCAGGTTTCCTGGAGGGGGTTTAATTCCATGCCCGGGTCTTGTTTACTTCTGTGCAGTCATGTATCGCTAATATGCAACCCGTTCTTTTTCAAACAAATTGTCCATAATGTGAGTCGACAATAATAACAAAACGAATATGCATAAGTTTGACCAGTTCCTCCTAAAATATTGTCTATATAACAAGGTTCCATGTTAACGCAGTTGTGACTAACGAGACATGACTGTATAAGCCCCTGTAAACGACGACCTTAATGTTATGACGAAAAACGAAAAAAAAAAAACATAATTTTTTGGAACAGTATAAATTTTAGACACACACCCCCGGAATTAAGGAAAAATAATCTTCGAAAACCCGAAACGCTAAACATGACCTAAAAGAAACCTTGACTAAACAAAAGTCGGAAAGCACTTGTTTACATTATTTATTATCCCACTCCAATCCAGTACTTCACTACCTCATTGAAGGACATGAAACTTCCGCATTCTATATTCCTCAGAACATAGCGTATGCGACCTACAACGATCAGCCGTTCACGGGAGACGATGATGATACCAAGGAACCTAAGGTGCATGCCAAAGATTACGCACATAGCAAGGGTAAGAAGAAATAGTTACCAGCGACCTTTCTTTCTAAAGTTCTACAGTGTATGAAATTCATTATTCAAAGCGCAATTGTTTAAGTTTTGTTATATTCATCACGTTCTTTACTGCTACGGAACGGGCAGGACCGGTATGGCGCCCAGATCAGTTCCCAATGGCTCGCTGCCTCGCGCATGCCCTTGCTCGGAAGCATGGATCGCGCTGCCCGGTTTGTGTGGGCGGGAGCTTGGTTGCTTGGTACGCAACACATCTTCCCCCTTACCGCTCATTCACACTGGAAGCGGATCTGCGCTCGCAAAGCGGTTGCGAACGCGGTTGTATAAAGATCCAGTGCCATTGCACGCGCACTCGATGACATCAAGTGCGCGTGCAATTGTGCTAGATTTTTATACAACCGCGTTCGCAACCGCTTTGCGAACGCGGATCCGCTTCCAGTGTGAATGAGCGGTTAGATGGAGTGTCCATATCTTGAATGTGGGCGCCTAGCCCGAGAGCTGGTGCGCCGATCAACTTGGACGGGAACATCCGGTGCAGCTCCTGCTGGAGACTGTACTGGTAGAAACGGAGGCAGCTCTTCAGCAGCAACGGTTGGATGCTGTGCCGGTAGTGTTGCAGGCGGCTCCTCAGCAGCAACAGTCGGAGTGGCAGGACTGGCCTCAGCTGCTGCTGCTGTGAACCACGCTGCTGGCGTCATCGTTTCGCACAAGCCTCTTGCCAAGAGACTATGGGGCCCGGATGTTTGAGGCGTAACTCCAGATTGTCGTCTAAAGTGGTCGACGTGTCTGCGGATTTCTCCAAACGGTGCTTGGAGAAGCCAAGATCGAAGACCGAGCTGCTTGAGTAGTGTTCCTTCTAGCCACCTCGGTTTTCCGCGAAAATTTATAGCAAACACAGGTTGCCCTTCAACAAAGCGGCGTGAAGGGGTCATCACCTCTCTTCCTTCCTCGCCTTCTCTTTTGTTGCATGTTTCTGGTTCCGGTGTAACTCGGCTTATGTTTGATGCCAATTCACGGCCGAACATTAGCAACGCGGGTGCTTTCCCGGTGGAGGATGTGACAGTGGTGTGCTGCTTGTAGAGGAATCTTGCCAGTCTCACTAACAAGCTGCCGACTTTGTCTTTTTGAAGTGCTTGCTTCAATTCAAAGACCATCCGCTCCGTTTGGCCGTTGGTAGCCGGATGGTATGGTGCGCTTGTCACAGGCTCCACACTGTTTCGTTGGTAGAAATCGAGTACCTCCCTTGACACAAACACGCTCCCATTATCCGACACCACCTTCCGTGGCGATCCTAATGTCGCGAAGATAGCACGCAGTTCTCTAATAACAGCTGTGGACGTGGCTGAGGTCTTCGCTCTCACCTCCAGGTGAGAGCGATTTCCAGCGCAACCGGGACCAACTGCCTCACGAAACAGTAGCCGCCTACGTAGCAGTGTTAAAAGCTGCTACGTAGGCAGCTTTAGAAGTGGGATTGTTTGCATTGGGTATGAAAACAATCTTTGTTGCAGATTGTCGTCTTGCAGTCCGCAGACAAACGACCACGTAGCATTACGTCGATGGGCAACATCGTTGATCTCAGGTCGGGCCGAACGGTAGGAGTTGCAGTCGCACTCACACCTGTGGATTCCGACATAGGAACCCTAGGAGGCTGGGCCGAAGGCTGGGCCGGTGACGTGCCGAAGTTGCAATCTGCCGCGAGAGCTTTTAACGCTGCTACGTAGGTGGCTACTGTTTCGTGCGGCAGTTGGTCCCGGCGCTGAAACTTGCGACTGAACAGCTCCGACGGGCGGGGATCGTAGTGGGCACGCAGCAGACTGACGATTACTACGAATGAGTGGTCACTCGGTGTCCCCGGTGCCACTAATGCCTTGACGGTTTCGAATGTGTTCGTTCCACATAGCGTCAGCAAGATAGCGCGCTTCTTGCCGCCATCGGCGATACCGTTGGCTTGGAAGTAGGAATCCAGTCGCTCTGCCCAGGACGACCATTCCTTTGCCGGAAAACTCCTCCACGGAGCCGTAAGTCGCCATGCTTCCCTGGCTTTACCGTCGTACAGTTCGTGCCGTTTGCTCGTCGACAATTGTTATATTCATCACGTTCTTTACTGCTACAGAACGGGCAGGACCGGTATGGCGCCCAGATCAGTTCCCAATGGCTCGCTGCCTCGCGCATGCCCTTGCTCGAGAGCATGGCTCGCGCTGCCCGGTTTGTGTGGGCGGCAGCTTGGTTGCTTGGTACTACCGTGCTTGGTGCGCAACAAGTTTCTATAAGAGAGGTTAGATATTTGTTTCTGAAATATGAATAAAAACATATTGTTCATTTATTTCTCCGCTATACACCAACTCATATTTACAAACAAACCGGAGCGCCCCTAGCGGAGGCCACCGGCGCCGCGCATGCGCGGTGGACCGTGAGCAAGAATCTCGCCGTCGCCCATAAACAAACCATTGAATTGCGTTGTTGTCGGCGTCGGTGTGAGTCCCCGTGCACTTTCTCGCGTTGGAATTGTTGATTCTACGTCCTCCTAACAATGTCTTACTACTTGAGTGGCTTCAGCAAAATTAACGAGGCTCTTTACACCGCAAACCTTTGCGTGAATAATGTGATGTGCGGCACTTCATTTCACGTGGACGCCGCAGAATGGGCGCTGAAGCCTGACTCCCACGATGAGATTCATCTCGCTATTTTCAGTCGCGACGTCGCTCGGGCTGCAAAAGCGTGGACCGTAGCTGATATGGTGGACTTCGATACTGAAAACCGCAAGTAGAATCGGGCATTACAAGTCGGTGACGGCCACTGGTAACAATGATCAACATCTTCTGTATCTACTGTTTACACTTAGCCTACTTACCCCACCCAACCTTCAAAAGTGTTTTGAAACGTGCACTTACTTCTTATCGCAATTACCGGGTCAACGCTTGGTTTACGGGCCGCTGTAGTTTGAACGGGCTGACGACAGAAAGCAGACTAGTTTGAAAGATCAGACGACAGTTCGAACGAATGCGCAATGGAGTGCGGGCAAGAAGCACCGCGTCCCGCGTCAACAAACCATTGGAATGTCACGTTGTCGGCGTCTGTGTGAGTCTGCATACTTTTTTCCGCGTTGGGATTGTCGAATCTACGTCCTCATAGCAATGTCTTAGCACTTTAATCGCCTGAGCAAAATTATCAAGGTTCGTTACGCCGTTAAACTTTGCGTAAATAGTTTGACGTGCGGCGATTCATTCGCATGAACGCCGCAGAATGGACGCCAAAACCATGATGAGACCCTTCTAGCTATTTCCGGTCGCAACGTCGCTCGTGCTGCAAAAGTGTAGAAGGTAGCGGCGATCATCGACGTCGATACTGAAACTCGGAAGGGGGAACAGACCAAGCGTAACAAGGCGGGGATGGCCACTGGTACCAATGATCAAAATCTTGTATCTACTGTTTACACCGAGCCAACTTTAGTCTTTTGAGGCCTGCAGTTACTTCTTATTGCAATCACTCGGTCAGAGTTTAAACTACGGGCCGCTTTTGTTTGAACGAGCAGACGACAAAAAGCAGACAAGTTCGAAAGAGCAGACGAAAGTTCGAACGATCAGGCAGCCGTGTGAATTTGAAGATGCACTGAACCCGCGGGTGGTTCGGACAACTTGGCGGTTTTCTCTCGTTCATGTTGGAACACAAAAACTACATCTGGGGAGCACAAAGTGTTGCCCGCACAAGCAATCGTAGTTCTACAGCGTTTGGTTTGCCCTTGTCACGGGTACTATCCACGTTCTCGGACGAAAGGAGGGCCAGAAACACATGAAAACTGATCTTCAAACCTTTCCAGACTCTCTTAGAACAGCCCCGTCACAGCATTCTGACGAGAAGGCAGGTTTTTTGTCTGGTTTCTTCCAAAAGAACGCAGGAATGCATGTCTCGCACCGCGACTTCTGCCCACCACCCCAGACCGGAAGTGCGTCCGACGCGCCACCACCGCGGCGTGACGTAGGAGAGTTGAGTTCGTGTATATTTAATTGAGGCTTTGACGTCATTGTTTCGTGGTGCCACGTGATAACATGAAGTCCCGCGACGCCATGTTGCAGGGACGTCAGGTGCTATGGTGACTTCTTGACATTGGGTGATCTTACGTCACTCGATGAGCCTATAAAACGGACCAGGTGTGTCTAACAACCGATAATTCAGTTCCAGAAAATTTTTGGCGGTGGCACCACAAACAACGGCCCCGTCTTCAAATCGCTCTTCCAATATATAGGCTGTAAGATTGTTTATCTTATGTATAGAGTGTATACTTTCCGGTGTTTATTTATGACAAATATCGGTGGATGTTTACCGGTGTTTATTTATTTCTAGAATACCGGTGTTTTTCAGCGAATTCTCTCGTGCAGTTGTTAAAAACGCTGATTCTCGGGGGAAACAAATTTGCGAATGTAAACGACCACTGAGGACGAAAATAAGTTCAAATTTTATTTACATCTTTTACACAATCTCTTTCACACTTGATTATTGTAGTATATCCACGCATACATTCCTAGGCTTGTGTCTGTCACTCCTTCCTGTTGACGTCACGCAATTTCGAGAATGCCTACTCATCATTTGCGCTTGACATGGGAAGCTCCAAAACGTGCAACGGGACAGTAATGGCCAGCTGTGACTGGCCTGTCGGGCTACCGAGAGGGATTTTCAAGGTCGCTTGGCTTAGGAGGACCACTGACCTTGGACAACAGAGGAACAAAACTACTATCCTCCAAGAGTTTAAGACCACGTACGTCGCAAAAGAAAGGCAAAGTGCATGATTCTGGGTAAGATAATGTGTTTAACGGAAGTTTTTGTAAGAATTTTTCAGATAAAAAAAAGAAAAAAAAAACATTGCTGGGAAAGTTTTAAAAACCTGTTTTCTTTATCTTGGAACTATTTTTATTTCCGGTCACCGGCGGATGTTTATATAGGTGTCTATAGTTTGTTTTAATCGAACTTTTTCGTTGAAAGATCTAGCGCTTGCTCGAAAATATTAAAAAAAAAACGGTGTTTTTTCTGGTTTTAACCGATTTTGTATGTTCGACACCGGCGGATGTTAATCAGTGCTTTTCGGCTAAAACCGGAAAGTATACAGCCAAGTTATTTAAGAGTAATTTAGGTATCGATATGACAATAACCTAAACCCATAACCGAGTGTTTTACGGTTTTCGTGCATTTTATTATTTTTTATTAAAATATATTTAACGTTTCCCAGAGCTCAGCTCTCAGGCCACCGTTTCCGGGTTGACCGGCGTCGGCGTCGCCGTCGGCATAACCGCGCGCGTTGAGTTACGGGACGTTCCCCCGTTAAAGTTAGCGGGGAATTTTTCCCGCTAAAGTTTTCGCAGAAATTTTCCCGCTAAATTTAGCGAGAAAGTTAACGTCACATAACCTCAACACCAATTCAGACCCCCATTTACATTTAGCGGGGAAAATTACGTCACAAATTCGTGTCACTTCACCGATGAACAAATTCAGCGGCAGGAGGAGAGGAGGAGGAGGAAAGGTGGAGGGCAGAGGAGGAGATTAGGAGGAGGAGGGGAGAGAAAAAGGAGGAGGAGAAGGGCAGGAGATTAGGAGGGTAGGGTACAGAGGGGGAGAAGGAACAGACCCTCCCCTCCGTTTTCTCCCCTCCTCCCCCTCAATAGCTGCGCTCTAGTTTCGCATTACAGAGATTTGTAAACGTCTTCATTCCCTCCCTCCCCCCCTCAATTTACTTGCCAGCCTGTGTCGGCCCTTATACTTATTTATTCATTTAAATACCTTAAGAACCCTGAGTCAGGGTATTACACAAGGGAGTGGGTTAAAAATAGCGAGGTTAACATTTGGCGGAACGAATGGATGTCTTGAGCAGAGACGATGGCTCCGGGCAGGCCGTTGCAGTCGACAAATGTCGTCGGGAAAAAAGATTTAAGGAATGCTGTGTTTCGAGTGAAAAAAGGCCGACTTTTGCATGGTGGTCAATGCGAAGAGATATGTGATGAGGTGGCAAGATGAATGAATTGTGTACAATATCGTCGAAGTAAAACCTGTAGAAAAGACATGATTTAGAGATTCACCTGCGGGAACACAAAGGGTTTAATGATAAATTTTGTTTAAGTTCAGTAACACTAACAAACCTAGAGTATTGAGACGTTATAAAGCGAGTGGCACGAGTTTGGACTGATTTTAAGTCGGATACAAGGTATTTAAGATGGGGGCCCCAGACTGATGATGCATATTCTAGATTAGGACGTACCAATGTGGCATATGCAAGTCGCTTCTCAGATGAGGACGCGAGACGAAGATTACGGCGCAAGAGACCAAGAGTGTGGTTTGAGTCGGAAATTATGGTATTTATACGGGTTTTCAAACAAAGGTCGTGAGTAAAGTGAATGCCAAGATACTTGTAAGTGGACACGGAATCAATATTAAAATTACCAACAGATCAGGAAGAGTGAAAATGTCGACGAGTTTGATAGAAGAAGAGGCACTTGGATTTTGATGTATTTAGTAGCATCTGCCACTTTGAGCACCAATCGTTAATTCGGTCTAGATCAGCCTGTAGGTTATGCAAGTCATCTGTGTTAGGTATGACTCGGTAGACTACGCAGTCATCAGCAAATAGACGAGCGTTAGAAGACAATGAAAGAGGGAGGTTATTAATATACACGAGAAAAAGTAGGGGTCCAAGAACAGATCCTTGCGGTATACCGGAGGTTATAGGAGCGCTTCGGGGACGACAGTTGTTAATTTTCACATGCTGCCTTCGACAGGTGAGAAAGCCTTCCATCCAGGTTAGAACAGAAGAGTCAAGAGACAGTATGGACAGCTTTGCCAGTAGAGGTGTATAGGAAACGCGATCAAGAGCTTTAGAAAAATCGAGAAAAATGAAATCAACTCGGTGACATCTTTCGAGAGAAGAATGAATATCGTGACAGAAAGCGGCCAGCTGCGTTTCGCATGAACGGTGTTTCCTAAAACCATGTTGATTGAAGAAAAATAATTTATCCTGTTTATACAAGAACATTTAAGCTTCAATGTGAACATCTTCTCTTTCTATCTTTCTCAGACACATTATTGGCAAGTTTTATTATACCGCACGGAAAAGCAAAAGGCTTCGAGTACGCGAAAAAATAGTGCCGTCGCCATGGGGCAATCCAAGTTGCGTTTTGGGATCGGTGCCTGCGCAGTGGCAACGACGCGATATCTTTGAGTACGAAATGTTTTTGCGTATACTATTACGTCAGGAATGACATTTTGCTTTACCCTCATTAACCAATAGTCCCAGTTTTTATATCCTAAAAAAAAAGTTGCCAATTTCATTTCTAGCTGACGATTTTTCGATGCAGGCATACTGATGGCTGACGACACAACGGGAATGTGGTTAGTCCATTCCACTCCTCAGTTTCCCGTCGACGTGCACATGGGGCAGTTCAACATGACAAGGACAGCGCGCAAGAATGGTCAATACTTTATGTGCGTCACTGTTCCGGCCTCAGAAGTGGACAGGATAGGTGAGTGACTGGCATTGTTGTCAGGATCAGGTTATCACTAATGCTGTTAACAAAGAGCATAATTTAGTGCTGCCTTCCAATCATAAAGCATCACGAAATATGACTAAAATATTACAATACCGCCAGCCTTTTCCACAAAAGACTTGTCCCCGGCGGTACGTGAGCCACTTTAAATAGACCCCACCATGCACCGTGGTGGTACGTGGTGAGGTGTATTTATATAGACGAAGTTGGTGCTGCATAAACAATGCAATGAGCTTAAGGTCATTTTTCTAGACGGCTTCGCAACTTCTGGATCTGGAAAGGCAAATCCCTTACAGAAATGTCATATCTGGACTTATATTAAAAAATACAGATATGGATATATAAGGAATTGGGCAGATATGGCCAGATATGCTTTGTCAGGCCATATCTGGACTGATAAAGCCATATCTGCCCAATTCCTTATATACCAATATCTGCCCAATTCCTTATATACCCATATCTGCCCAATTCCTTATATACCCATATCTGCCCAATTCCTTATATGCAATATATGGACTGCTTTATATGATCCCGTGTTTGGGCCTGGCAAATAGGGTATCCACGCGATATATAGCAATTTTCATGCGATGCTCCTTCAGAATCACATGAAAACTATTTTCATGGGGCAGGTACCCTATTTTCCAGGTCCAGACATGGGATCATATAATGCATTTCTATGAATATCCACATAATATACATTTTACTGCTATGCCACACTGCCAAACGTGTGTTTACGTATAGATATATCTACAGAATAGGCCACTGACCAATCCTTATTGGTCTGGTTCGGAATCTGTCATTCCTACAAATATGTATGCTACAAATATAGAATGCAGGCGATCGCTAGCTCGGAAACATTGTAACATACCATTTGACGTCAAAAAGTAAACAGCCCTTTGGCGGGATTGGTTGTCGAGGGAGCAGACCGAGAATATGGTTTGCAAAAAAAGTTTTATTTATAAAAGCACCAACACTCTAAACAAGTACTTCCGCCATTCAAGAAAAAATTATAAGAAACAAAACTGTAATATAGCACGGACAAACATTAAAATAGACTAAAAATGTAATAGCACAAAGACACCTATTAAAATAAAACAAACGGAAGGCAACAATTAAGCTGTAAACTATACGAAAGTTTCAAAGTCGTTGATTCCTACTCACAGAGTCACAGTCCTGATTCAACTCTCCGGTCGAGCACAGCAGTTTTGACAAGGGCTTGCTTGCTAGCCTCGTCGTTGAAGTTCTTCCTCGCACCGTGTGATGTTCAAAGCCCCCAGTCGCTCTTCGCTGGCCTTGTTTTTCTGTTCGGTCGCCAAATCTTCCCGTGTCATTAATCGTCACACATGCACACAGACACCGTTGTTTGCCGCGGAAGCAATACAAGATGAAAAGGTCATTACTGCTCCTTGAACACGACGAGGTCACCACTGTTTCCCGGACTAGGAAATGACGAGGGCATCATGTTTTTAACTAAAACCTCATAAAAATAAAAAAATAAAATAATGAACACATAACAAACAAAAACAAAAGGACTAAATCATGAGAAAAAAAATGAAATAATGAACACAGAAGTAAAAAGTATAAAAACACGAAGGACTTACACAGACAGCCACATTTGTTCAGTTAACAATGACGTTTAATTCTGATAAAAAATATTCCTACTGCGCTAAAGGTCACCAATATGGTGTGTAAACTAGGCCACCTTGAGCAAAGCAGGAATATTTGTGATCATAATCAAATGTCATTGCAAACTCAAAAAGTGTGGCTGCCTGCGTAAGTCCTTCGTATTACTATTCTTCTGAATTCCGTGTTCATTATTGTGGCTGTTTTGGACCAGGCGGAACTTGGTGGTGTTTTTTCCATTCTGACCTTAAACCGGACAGCTTCGTACCCATAGAAAAACCCACTAGCTTGTCTACATAATCCCACTCCTCAAAAAAAAAAAAGAAACAATTGTGTGTATGTTTATTCAGTCGGAAGTTAGCTTGCCTCAGTGGGCGTCTGCTGTCTCAGCTGTAGAATAATTTAGCCAGCGCGGTACAACTGCTATCCTGGGGTCTTTAACGCGCACCACTCAGTAGTGATACCCAACCGCACGCCGGGACGATGCTCATCCAGATCGAAACGGGCAGGGGCGGCGATCCACTCCTCCTTGCTTCCCTTGAGGCACTGATAAATAAAAATCAAAGGTTGGGTCAATTATGTTAACGCAATATACTTCAAACACGTAGCATGAGTGCTGGCAAGATATTTGCTGCCTTCAATCTAGATAAGCTTGTAAATTAACATGCTAAATAACAATTAACTTAAAAGCTGAAATATATTTCGATGGAACTACAAAAACCGACGACTAGCTCTGCAAATATAGTGCTATGTAGTACACCAGAATTGAGTAGAATCGGATTACAGCGTCCCCCTTACAAAGACTGGAGCCAAACAAGTATAGACTCTGCCGTGCCACTACAACAGAAACAATGGTATTGTGATCTCGTGGAGATCAGAGTTCGGAAAAATTGTGACAGGCTTTGGCACGTCAAATATGTCTAACACTATATACTTACACTGAACAAAATAGATACCAAAAACTGGCGAGACACTACCTTAATTGAGGATATGCATGTACATTTCCCTAGAAGCTTGTAATTAATACTTGAAAGCCTCTAAAAATACACCAGTAGGAAGAGAATAAATGCTTCACCATTTAAAGCAGCCTGAGTGTTTCTGGAGGTGTGAAATTCGTTACACGTGCGTTGGATCATACGAAACACGTGTACAGCAAATGATCTTTAGAGCTCGACATTTCGCGAGGAATAAATGCCAGCGTCAAAAATTATTTCGCGGGCACAAATTTTTGCGATCGGAAGTGGTATGCTATGCATTAATCACCATGGGGTAAATTCATCGCGGCATCAATTTTTGGCAATTTTTTTCTGGGTACGAACTGCGAAAATGAAGCCGTCTGCAGACGACTGGGGCGGCGAAAGCTACGGACTTGATCGATCAATCAATCGCTGTTTTTGTCGGGTCCAGCTCTCGGCACGCAAGTACGGAGAGTGGCGTCGACGATGGAGGGGCACCGCGCTCTTCCAAACATTCTAGCTTACCAGTAAACAATACGGCGGAAGGAGGAAATCAACCCCCGCCCCCCTCTTCCGCCTTTGCCCCCACCACCCCCAATCCGTCTCGCAAAGAGTTCCGCCGCAACTGGTCGACTTTAAGCGAGTAGACAGCCTTAATCTGCATCGGAGAAAAAAGAAAAACAGCCTCGCATAACACCATTCGCGCACAATTAGTAATACTGATAAAAGCAAGCGATCTACACACAATAACAAGCCTATTGAACGCAGGAAATAATCTAGCCCAAACGAACAAAACACGAACTTACTTCGATCCCCTGCCATGATCTTGGCTGTTGAGCAGATTTAACGTAGATCCAAGTCCCACAGTCGCTTCCATCTTTGTCGGACACATTTGAAACTAAGGCAAACTCCACGCATCACCACTAATCGGGTAATTGGACCGTTAGCCGGCCGTGAACACAGGCATTCAAAAGCACACGGCCGGCAAAGCGTGCGAAACATAGGCCGTTGCTTCGATGAGATTGTATCCGTATCTTCAACACGTTTGAAATAAAACGATCAGCAAACCGCATTATAAATCTCATAAAAGACGCAATAATAATAAATTATTGCACATGTTAATTTCGCCATAATATTATCAATAAGTCCTGAAGATGTTGCAAAATAATAAATACGAAACTGAGCCTGCAATGGTGAAAGAGATATTCAGCCAGTGTATTCAGCAGACATGTAACCTCCTCGAACGGTAGCGGAAGTCATGCGAGCGGCGGTAGCGGGAGTTCGAGCGCACGTGCGGAGCGTGCAAGACGTTCGAAACATGAGCTCCGTTGGAGCGTCTACAACGGCCCTTGCTGGCCGCGGATTTTCTGATTCTGCATCTACTGATGAGTACCAGGTTGTACTGCCACCACTACCGCGTGGTGCACTAGCACTGAACACTGTACTTCTGCACTGTGATGTCAAGGGCCGCCCGTACAGGATTGAAGACTTCAAACGTGAGCTGGAACGCCTGAACGTCCTCCGAGAAGTGGCTTCAATAGGAGCATACCAGATGAATCACGTCTGGATCGTCACTCTGAGATCATCAGCTGCCACGCTCAGGTTAGTCGCTGCAAAGGAGCTTAAAATCAAGGACCGGCGATGCCTAGTCATTGATCCGAGCAACGCTGAAGTTAGAGTCAAGATCCATTGGATACCATTTCACGTGTCGAACGACGCAGTACGCAAGGCGTTGGAGCCTTTCGGTAAAGTTACAGAAGTAACCCGGGACACCTGGATGGCCGAAGGTTTCCAGGGCATCGAGTCTGCGACAAGGCTTGTGCGGATCACCCTCCAGGAGGGGACAACGATCGACAGCCTACCGCACCAGCTACGGCTCTTTGGAGCGAACTGTTTGATTGTGGTCCCTGGACGCGCACCGTTATGCTTGCGCTGTAAGCGTACTGGACACATACGACGAGACTGCCGTGTGCCGCGTTGTTCAGAGTGTCATCGCTTCGGACATGAGGCAGAAGACTGCGTGAGGACCTACGCTTCAGCTGTCGGACGTCAAGAAACTGATCCGGTAAATGAAATGATCATGGACGCTGACGAGGCGGAGAGCACAGCAGCCAGCACTGCTCCTGCAGTCCTGAGCCCTGTATGCAACGACCGCGACTCTCGCCTTGAAGAACAAGACCGAAAGCCTGGTGAAGAGGAGAAGACATCTGTCACAACAGACGAGAAGAAAGTCTCAAGCTCACCAGAGCCTCAAATTGAAGAAAACAGCAATTTGGAGCAGCATTCAACAACAGAGGAGGCCCCGGTAGTCGTCGAAATGCCTGACGCGAGTCAGGCTAGCAAGCGATCCCTGGAAAGATCATCCGAGATCCCGGAAACCGAGAATGAAGTCAGCGA